TATTTAGGTTTCAGTGTGTACAAGGCTCTCTACTAAGTGTTGGAGATAGCATGTCCAAAAAGTCATGGTGCTCACCTTTGCTTATTTCACACTGTAGAAATAATTGAAGCTGGGGTCTATGGGAATGTAGGGTATAAATATATAACTTCAAAGTTCTGTGAGCTCATAAAATTATAAACAGAATTGTATTGTGTTTGTAAGTGCTTGTGAGTAATTTTCTAGAAATAGAAAGTTCATCTTTTTATGAGATACTCAAAAGGATCTGCCTAGTGGTCATTCTTGGTGTTTACATGGTCATCATCCCTCTCTTGTAGTAATAGAACCCACTCCTTCCCTTTGGAGAAGCACCACTTGACCATTCTCAGTGCACATGGTTTGTACAGGGTTCATCTTATCCCCTGACACCAGGGGTGGACCTGTGATCCAAGCTGGGCCAATCAAAATAAAAAAAGACATACACTTTCTATCAAGACTGCAAAACTTAACAGTTACTAGTGGTCATCTTTGCCACCAAGTAGGAAAACCTGTCTGAGATGGAAGCCAACAAACCAGAAAGTTAAGTAGAAATCTGGAGACATACAAAATTATAACAAATTTTGTTGGAGGACATAAGTTCATCCAAAGCTAAAGCCAAATGTAGCTTGGGACTTTTTCAGTTACATAAGAAATAAGTTTCAGTTTTTGTGGAAACCAGTTAGAATTGTCTTTTCTTTTTCCTTTTCAGTGAGAATCACTCTGGCTGATTCCATTTAAACACTCCCCATGAAAACAAACAAACAAACAAATAAACAAACAAAGCCACTGGTTTATTGCTCCCAGATATTAAACTCTCCAATCCCTGGTTATTGCCTCTATTTAGCTCTATTATTCTTGGGGCCCATTACTTTAACTATCTATCTTCAAATCCAAACACAATCCCACCTTCATCCCATGGCACATGATGCTCTCTCATTTTATTTCAGCACCTCTGTACCCACTTCTTCCCATGGTGCAGAATATTATAGCAGAGGTCATTTTCCACTCTGATCAGCCTCGAGCCACTTGCAGAATCACAAAACCAACATGCAAGTTTCCTTCATGTTTTTCACTCCCATCTTCAATATGCCAAAGCCATTGTATAGACTTTGTCTCAATCAACACAATACTTACTGGCCTTTCAATACACATTTGTGAAAGCACAAAAAGAAAATGCTGGAGCTTTTTTTCTGTCATTCATAAAAGGAAGAGAAACTACTAAAAATGGAACTTGATGCAAGGGCCTCATCAGGGACCAACCCCCAGGGCAAGAGAATGTTGGCTTCATCATTACCTGGTGCATTGTAGGTCAGAGTGGACTATATACATGAAACCAGAGAAATGGGCAGGCCTACTGTGATAAATTTGAGGCAATGCGTAGCTTCACTTTTATGGTACACATTTTAAAAGCCTACCCTAATAAAACCATAACAAATGAATAAAAATTAAATATGAAAATGAAATCAGTATTTACACAAAAAGGGTAGAATTGGAGTTAGTTTCATTTTTGAAAAATTTCTTTATGATGTTTAATGTTATTTCAAGTATTTTCAAAGCATTAGCACAAATCTATTTTTTTAACTACTACAGATATTTCACTTGCATTGCAACATATCCTTAAGTGGGAAATTCCCTGGTGACAAAATATCCAGAAAGCAGGACACGGAAAGACACACACACACTAATTTGGGCTAAAAGAATGAATCTATTTGATTTAATGTACTATATTTCATAATAATACATATATAATATTTGAATTAGAGAAAAAATATCACAAAAATGACTGGAGAAAAAATTTTCCTTGCAAGACCTGAACACAAGGTGTACGTTTTTTAAGCTATGTTTTAAAGAGAAGACATATACACCTCTGCGGCAATTCCCCAACACAAGGGGGCGGAGCCCGTCTACACTCCCAGGCACAGAAGAGGCTTCTCAGGAAGTCCCTGCAGCTATGAAGGAAGTGAAGGCACCGAAAATGCAAAGCCCCAGTAACCCCCTAAAAACCAAAGAAGCCTCTAAATTTCCACTGGAGGTTTTGAGAATTGGCCCTGCTGAGAGGGGAATGAAGGGAAGAGAAACAACAGCAAAGGCCTTTGGGGGAAAGCTGAAACAACTATCAGGCATGATCCTTGGTGGTGAAATCACCAGTGGCCAAGGTGGCCAGGCCAGGCCCTCACTTCCCCACTGCACTCACACTGTCCGTAGGGCACGGGGGCAGATCCTTCATGTGCCTGCCGTCAGCCGCTAGGCTGAGGGGTGGCCTGCACAGCTGGAAAGAGAAGTGTAAAACTCAAGCAAGGGAAAGATGCCTCTTTTGGAAGGGACTTTCCCTGGCCAGTGAGGTTTCAGATCATGTTTTATTACAATCTCCTGGCTTGTGACAGGGTTTCAGGGAAACGAGACAACTCAGATGCAAATCGCAATGGGAAAAAAAATCAGCAGTGGTTTGAGAAAATGAACTGAACCATGTTGACTCTGACAAGGCAGAACTCGAAGACAGTGCGAGATATAGCATGTGCTGCTTTGAAAGGGAAGAGCAGAGAGGAAGGGCAAATGTTGCTTAGTCTTAAATAATACTGTAATTAGAGCTGCTGTTTATTGAGAGCCTACTGCATACCAGGAGCTTTGTGTATATTATCTCTTATTCTTACAGTAGATAATATGAAATCAACCTTATTATTCTTACTCTAATCAGACAAACTAAGCAAGAAATTATCCAACACCACCCAGTTCATAGCCAAGATTTAAACCACGGCCTACCTAATATAATAACTATGCTTCTCCCCTTGACCCTTCGGCTACTGATGCATGTAGTCACCCTTCTGCTACTCATGGTTGAGCCCTGCTCAAGGCTCAAACTTCTCTATACCTAGATATTCCCTTGTGATGTGGCATAAGTATGCCTGATGTCAGATAAAATAACCTAAAATAAGCTGATTTCAGCCTCAATCTGTCTCTGTCAGTAACCAGCTCTGTAAAAATGGACGACCCATGTAATTTTTCTGGGTTAGTGTTCTCATCTACAAAATGGGGCTGTTGTGGGGGTGTCTTCCGTTCTGAACTTCTATGAGGCATACCTAGACCTCACAAAGTCAAAATAAGGAAGGAAATGTCAAAGTCTCTTTCCTTTTTTAGCCAAGTATGTGATGAGATGATCATATTCCAGTTCTCTGTGAATAATATACATTTAAGGGTCCCATGCTTAAAAAACAAAAGTGCTTTAAAACATTTTTTAGATAGCCATGCAAGTGAAGACAAAATATTCCTAGCCAACCCCCTGCTAGCAGAAAGTCCACATAGGAAAAAGGCAAATCAACATTCTTTACCTCTCTCCCAGCATAAGTCATCACCCACTATGGGAAAATGATTACTTGCCAGGAAACAGGGCCTATGAATCATTATATTGTTGTTCTGGGCCTCTGGTTGAGTAAGGATAAAGGGAGAAAGTCTGAGAAGTTGGGGTGTGAACTCTGAATTGCCAACAGTTCTGCTCATGGCACCATCCGGGATGAAAACTGAAAGCCAAGTAGACGCAGGACTAGGATGAGTTGCAATGCTGCTACGCTGTGTGGCCAAGTCCAGAGCAGAATGACATGGGCCCATGCCTTCCTGAATCTTCACAGCCCCAAAGGGTCAATGATCAGCAAATGCAAATAATGTCACCCCTGGGCTTGTCCTGACAGGCAAGGGCTTGTTCATTAATGACTGTGTAAGAGACTTCCTCCTCCTCTAGAAACACCAGCAAACATTACAAAGAAGGGGTTAAATTACTCAACATCAGCATTCACATTCTAAAATAGAAATCCATGAGAGATAGACACCACAAGCACACTTTCCCTTGTGGTTTGAGCAAATATTGTGCTATAAATTCTTCTTTGTTGCTATGGCCTATCTATTGCAAAAACTTTTAATATTACATTTATCTGCAGGGCCTTTGATATCTTTAGAAATGTTTGGTTTGCATAAGGAGCTATTTTGCAATCAAAGGCATAGAAAGTTAAAATTTACAATACATATGTAAATTCTTAGTAAATTATGGGAGGCAATAGAAGAATCCATCTCTGCTTTCTTTAGTGTCTTCAAGATAGTGAAAGTAGAAGTATATTGTGATGATATAGAAGGGGAAATGTTTAAAATCCTCCCTGTCCTAGGAAAGGATTCTAGGTAGGGTCTTACATCGGTGGTTTTTGACTAAGGAACTAGAATGATGTTATTTAGAATATTGAAATGAAACCAGAGTCAATGCAGTCTTCAGCTGATGTTAGAAAATAGCAGGTGTGGAAACAGAGTTTCTAATGCTCTTAGGATAAGTATAGAACAATATTTCTTCAAGTATGTCCAACAGAACTCAGGGCCCATGAGCTACTCTGTATAATGAAGGTTTTTGCCCCAAAGTTAAGAGTTTAGAAACCTTCCACCTCGTTGGAGAAACCTGGGCACTTTTGTCAGACCTCTCATATCCCAAATTTGCTAAGACCTCAGAACCATGTGCCCTCCCTTTTTATTCTTCATGTGACAACTATTACTCCAGCCCAACTTGACAAAAAGAATTGGTCAAGTGTTTCATGGCCAATTATTGGTAAATCACTGGTGAGGAAGAAAAAGAACTGTAAGGGGACAATTTACAAAAAGAGGATCCACAGAAGGCTCCTGATCAGTGATGCCCAAAAGGTCAGATCCTATTGTGAAGGAAGGTAGTCAAGAGACAGTATGCAGGTGACAGGCTAAATTGACAAGGGGAGGGAAAAAAAACTAGAAAACAGTTAGCACTTAGAACATATAAATGCTATGTATGGTATACAGCATACCCAACTTTGTGGGGTGGAACAGTTACCCCTTTTACCAGTGGGAAGAATAAGCAAATCACTCAAGACCACACACCAAATAATTAAAAGCATTTAGACTCAGAGAGGCACTTACTGCCACACAGCCACCTTCTAGACCATGGCAGAAATGCACACCTGCAGTTGTGCAGTGACACAGACCTCCTCAGAGCCAGAGTGTGCTGTTTCCTCTTCGGGCTGAACCCAGATCAGGCAGCAACAGAAAAAGGCCTCGATATCCATCCTTCCTTACATCTTGAGTCCCTTGATTATCAAACTCCTAAAGAAACAGACCAATTAGAATTATGCCAATAACCCCTTCTGTGACAATTCAAAGCCAGCAATCTTCTCTGTCATAAGAAGTCTTCTCTTTTGATGTCCAGAAGGAGGGAGGCTCCAATTTTCCTTCCATGAGAGAACAGACTGCAGGGAATCTTCAGGAGCAACCACATTCCTCACACTGATTCCAATTTATCCATCTTCTTCAAAGCCCTACTTTGTGAGAGCTTGTAGCTATCTATCCAGCAGGGATGCCTAACTGTCACGGTACTGAAGGATTATGCAAAACATAAGCACCCTGGCCTAAAAGTCAACGTTTTCCTTCAAGAGCCACCATTAACTTTCTTTAAATGAATACTAGAGTCTCAGGGTAGCTGTCCTAAGTTTCCACTTCTGGTGGTGGCTGGAATTCAGAGAAAAAAAATTCAGATTCTAGTGAGGTAGGACTACGTTTTAATTTTCTTGGGCATACTACTTACATGAGAGATGGTGTCTTGGGTATTATAGAACCCACCTTCAGTGGAGTGCATGGATTGGAGGGAGGTGGGTATTACGGAACAAGGTGCAAACTAATCTACAGGCCCTCATCTTATTTGCTCCTACCTCCTTAACAGTTAAAAAATATTAAGCATGTACCTCCAAAATTTGTTTTCTTATGTATAACTTTGTTATCAACTAATATATTATGAATAATAAAAAGAATTCAAAAGAATTTTTTAAGACAATATTTGGAGGTACATTTATTTATTTGTATTATTTCCCCCTGCACTTCAATAAATCAAGGAGTATGTGTACCTTGTTATGGGACCACTGACCTTACTATTCTCCCATCAAGAAAGAATTCTCTTACTAAATGAGCTCAGAAAGATTTGGAGTCTCTTAATAATCTTGTTAAAATCCTAAATAGCATGTTAATATCATGATAGATTTTAAGGTAACTGAACTATGCACTTACAAGAAATCACCAAATGAAAGAGTTTGGACCACCGGTTGGCTGGCTTGTACTGAGTTACTTCTGTTTCCCCAAATGTTTTTGGAACACTGCCCTTTGAATTTAAGGGAACAACTAAATATTGTCTCCACAGAACGTCATTCTCCCTCAAGTGTATTTAGTCTTGCAGAGCTGTTTCTCTAGAAGAGAGCAAGGTTATATGAAGGGGAGAGAACATCTCTCCCTCCAGGGTAGTTATGCAATGCAGGGTCAAGGACTCTGTCTACAAAACTCAGGATGAGATCTTTAGGGAGTGCTTGGAGAAGAGACAGGCTGCACAGAGATGGTGATTCTCCCACTTGGGCATGGTGATTACTTGAGTTTTCAGATTAAGAGTACTGTTGGAAGCAGGAATAAATTATCTGGCAAACCAAGTAAAAAATATATATATATATGGGACTGAGTACAGGGTATTGGGTGAGTATAGGAAAGCACTACATCCTTTAAACTCACTCCCCCTCTAAACACCTCCAACTTGGAGGAAGCGTTGGCTGTTCAACTCCACTTCTCATTAAAAGTGTGTTTACTGCACTTCTCATTTAAAAGTGTCTGTATTTGTTTTTGTAAAGACTCTTTAGCAGAGAAACCCACTAAACCATTATCAACATCTTGGTGTGACCTTCAGGAAGAGGCCCCGTGGACTACGAAAACTGCTAAGAGGATCTGAAGTGTTAGTGGTGGGGGATGTGGTAGAGAAGGAAGAATGAAAGGGGGGAAACTGTTTGGAAGGCCTATTGATCTGAAAGGGAAATATTGGGGGGGGGGGCAGTGACAAATAAGATCTCTGAGGGGCAAACGGCATCTTTCACACTTTGTTTAGAAATCATTCTAATGACAGCCACTCTAAATTTTTGGTTGTTGTTGAGGGGTTAGTTCCACAATAACTGAAATGAGGAAGTAAGCCTAACACTTTTTTAAGCCTCAGAGTTGACAAGAAGTTATGAAATCCCTGGTGGGTTTATGCTAGACTCTAACACAGGCAAGGAAAAGCAGGGAGATTCCACTGATGAGTCATACCAAAGGACAAGGGAGATTACAGAAGGTTTTCGCAAACACAATGAGTCTAAGAAATTTAAGAGAATGAAATCAAGTTAACAAATTTGGGTGATACAAGTGCATTTGTGACACGAGATGAGTAATAACACTAAGTGATAAACCCTTGAAAATAAAGACTGATGCAAGAATGCTTAGAAGAGAGAAAAGCAAAAGCAAAAGCAGTGGTTTTGAGGTTATTGGGAGTGTTGGGGGAGGACCTTGAGATTGGGTCAGTCGGGGCCAGGAGAGACCCAACCATACCTGCAGGTGTTTGGAGAGAGACAAAGGCAAGTACAGAGTCTGAGAGGAGGTGACAAGTGAGCCTACAGACAAGGCAAGACTTAATAATGCCTTATTCTTAATGGAATCAGCATGGCAATGACCTTGCCAAAGCATTTGAGTCTAGAGGCTGAAGGAGACAGAGATTAACTGTATCAGGAAGCAGCCCATTGATGGGAAATGACTAATCTATTGATGAAAATTTCTCGTAAAGCCTGTCCTTATTGAACACATCTGCTATAAAGGCTTTGGCATCAAGTTTTGTATGATACAAAAATCGTAAAAACTTTGGAGTGACTATTACATGTATGACGTCAGATCTAATGTGGGCATAACTAACTCGGAAAACCATAGGTGGTAATTGAGAAGGTTCTAATAACATCTTGACAACAAAAACATTTGAGTCTATGTGATGTCAAAGTGTTTTTCTCTTCTCTTTTTTCACTCAGAGAAGAAAAAACACAAGCAATATTTTTTCCTGAAAAAGCCAAACATCTGGATATCTTGGAAGAGTAAGCATATATTTAATAAAGCCACAGTATATAAAACTAAAGCATTCTATGATATTTTGCTTGGATCTTATTATTTTCCATAGTTTTATGTAAACATGACAAAATACTATTAATTTGATAACTAATAGCTAAATATAATAATACATAATGATGGCTGAGCTTGAAATTGGTATATGATGCATGTATTTTTAGTGTCTGTATTTATATACATAATATGTCTTTTTACAAACCAAGTGATTTGCCAAGTCACAGAAGTACAGAGTCCTTCGTGATTCATTAGTATGTTTACCTGTTTCCAGGACCCTAGTTCGTCCTACATGTAGCCCTTTACAAGCTTTACAGTGGATTTAAACAAAAAAAATTTTCAATTAGCAATCATTTCCGCTATAACGTTTTGTTTTATAGCACCCTGTGTTATTATAGTGAAGTACCTACTTGTCCTTTCTCCAAATACAGTAGAATTCTTTCATTGCTTACAGGAAATCCAGTTTCTGGCTGTGCCTGTAACAAAGCAGGTCCTCAATTAATGTTTATTAAACTAAACTAGGGCTAAAACTGAAATAAAATTAAGAAGTTTGCCGAAGTTCAGATCATTTGCTTCTTAACTGATTTCCATACTTAAGCAAACAAGTTAGGCTTACAACTTTGATTTTATTAGGGTCTTCAATCTTCACATCACCTTAGATGCTATGTTATTACTTTAAATGTGTATAGTTCAGCTTGTCCATTATGGATTCCTTTCTGTTCTGCCTTTTGCTGATTCCTTGCCAGCTCTCTACACTTCCTTCTCACCCCCTACTTTGTTATTTCCCCTGGACAATGTTAGATTTGAGATAAAAGTTAAGAGACAGGAGGAAAAAACAAACAAGAGCTGTAGGCAGCAACTTCTTATTTTAATTTTATTTCCCAAATTACTGTAAAAACAACTTAGCACTGTTTTTTTTCCTTTTCCCTTTTAGCACATCCTGGACAAGCAGCTACTGATTCGTAATGCCTGGACTTTAAATATTCAAAATAGCTTGTTAGATTTACAATTAAATATTTACTTGTTATTTGGAGCCTGTGCCTGTCGCAGAGCCACTGAGAAACATGAAAGACAAGTGTTAACACTCATTTTCCTACCATAATCAAAATCTATTTCCTGGGGGAAAATGCTTTTGTGGTTTCACACGTCTGTGGGGGCAGGAGGGGAAGGGACAGCATGCCTGCAGAACCAGGCCGGAGCAGGGCTTGAGGCTAAGCCGGGTACAAGTACTACCTTTAAACACTCCCAGTTCCCACACGGAAAGCAAGCTCGGGGCAAAGCCCATAGCTGTCCTTCCATGTGCATCTCTAGAGCTACCCCTTACACTTGCTTTTCTGCAGCTTAAATAATTCATTTGAATTTGTAAATTTTGAATAAGTTTTTGATTAATTTTGTCTGCACAATAGTAGAGATGAAGGTACAATAAGCCCCCTTCCCCGACCTCCCTAAACCATTAATCAAATATTAATTTTGATATATTTTCCTCTAAAAGTACACCTCAGTCCATGATTTTTAGAACAAACCAGGTCAAAATGTTATACACACCAAATGCAAATGACATTCAAAGTATTTTTGTGTTTGGTTCCACAGCACAGTCTAAGCTAGCTCCCGAGTAGAGAGTATACCCAATGATGAAGCGTTTCCTTACACCCAACCAGTATCAAAGGAGTTTCAAATAACTATTAAACAATACCTTTCCAACTACAAGTAGGGACATGAGTATAAAAATCTTACCTCTATTATATACACTTCCTATTTTATAAATTTATTTTAAGAATTTAGGACCTCATAAGCAATGATGTCATTTCTTCTCACAAGAATATATTTAATCTTTGAGAAATCAAAGGCCATGACAGTGTGTCTTGGAAATAAAATGGCATATCATAAAAAGCAAAAGCACATGGCACTGGGAGAACCCAATATATTTGTCTGTTGCTACTAATAGCTTAGGTTGAATTGGGGGAACTCCTAGATCCTAGGCAACCAAAGTTGACTGCTCAGAAAGGTTTTCCCAGTTCGACTCCCTAATATGTGCCACATATCATGTTGTGGGAAGCTGGCATTATATAGGTAATTATTGCAAATGGTAAGTGTTATAATGGATAAATATATAAATTGTTTGGGACACACATATGCACCATAGAAGTATCAAACTGTGAGAATAGTTAGGAAGAGAGCTGCACCAAAAAGGATATTCACTCTGGGTGTTTGATAGGTAGTATCCCAGGTAGAAGTCACTGAGATGTCTGCCGGTCTCCTACCTGTCAGCAACCTTTACTTTGTGCCTTAGCTAGATAAGTATAAGTCACATCATTGCAACTTCCCTGGAAATGAAGCTCAGCAACCATTGTGGGGGTGGCAAGGTCATGGTAGCAGGCATGGGCGGGGAGCAGGCACCATGTCACCGTATTTGATGGGATTATGGTTTGTTTGTTTGTTGAAGAAAGGAACTTAATACTCCTTCCATCCACATTGGACTCTGTATTACCCACACTTCAAAGTTAACTGGGCTGGTACCTAAGACCACATATTATAGGAGTCGGGAAAAGGAGGTTCTGTGGGAAATATATTCGTACAGTCTTTGGCAATCATCAGTGAGCAGTTGGATATATTTTTAATGTTCTTCTCAAAGTTTTAGGAAATTTAACTATTGAACTTTTTCTTAAAAGATGTTTATGCTGCCTGGCCACTGTGGCTCAGCTGGTTGGGTGCTGTCCCACAAACCAGAAGATCATGGGTTTGATTTCCTGGTCAGGGCACATGCCTAGGTTGCGGGTTCAGTCCCCAGTCACAACATGTACAAAAGGCAACTGATAGATGTTTCTCTCTCACATTGATGTTTCTCTCCCTCTCTTTATCCCTCCCTTCTTCTCTCTCTAGAATAACTAACTAAATAAATAAATACAATAAAATTTTTTAGAAAATATATTTATGCTGTTTTAAAATGTCCTTGAAGGGAACACAAACTGAGTGACACATAAAGCTTGGGAAATAATATTCCAATGTACACATCCATAATAATATTAAACTATTACATGTACTATACATATACCATGCAAAAAATCTCCTACATAAGACCTTATCTCAAGATCTGGATCAATAATTGAAACGTCCTTGTTTCTTCATGCTGTTGCTTATTAGCTTCTGAGTTTCAGTGTCTTTTATACTTCTGACTCAGCTATGCGTATAAATATTTTCCAACTGCAGGACTGATTAATGTCACTTACTAAGCTTTCTGTCATATCTCTCAGCTTTCTAGTTCACTGGGGAATCCACATTTGCAGGTGTTCTTCAATGCTCAGATCCGTGCTAGACTTGATCATGTCTATCCAAGTCTTCGACCTCACTGTTTCTGTGCTGCAAGAATCACATTGCTTAAATGGAATTTTGTCATGTTGAATGTATTTCATTCAGTTTGTTTTATAGGGACTTGCCCTTTCTCTTCCCTCTCACTGATATTTTACCAAGTTTCCACCCCTTATCTTCTTTCTCTACTTCCCATCTTTCCATTGCCTCTTGACAAATTTGTTTCCAGATTTAAACATGGCCATATGGATAGAATATTAAGGCCATGTCTGCAATGGCAGAGCAGGGAGCTAAGGCAACTATCTTGAGGAGCATTCAGCAAGAAATAACACTTTGACAGAAGGGAAGGCAGGTGGAGCTTTTTAAGGATTAAATCTCTCCAAACTGACACAAACTTAAACTAGATAGTTTTTAAACCTTCCAAAACACTCTCAAAAAGCATATATATTTTTACTACAGTTACTAACACGTTTACATGTCTCATACACTAAGTGGGAGCAGAAGGTGCTGGGGCGAGGGGATACCAAAGAAATGTAAGCGAAAGAAAGATGTTGAGAAACGGGATCTAGGTTGTGGGCTTTATATTCACTATCTCATTTAATGCCTAAAACAAAACTGAAAAGTAGTGTTTACTTCTGAGAGATGAAGAAACAGAGACTCAGAGAAGTTAACTTTCCAATGTGTTCACAATTAGCAAGTGTGAGAAGCAGAATTTAAAATCAGCAGGGCTGATGGTACAGTTCCAGCTCTTTCTACTCACTGAACCATGTCCACATACTGAGCAGACCTACCCTGATGATGCTTAAAACCCACAGGGAGAGGCAAGATTTATACCGATAGAAAAAGGAAAAAAAAAGTTGCCTTTTAGAAAATACTAATGCAAGGTGGGATTCAATAAAGCGTGGCCAGGAAGGTGATCAAGAATCATAATGTGTGGCCATGGACAGAAAGTAAAGAGAAACAATCCGCACACGTGCAATGGTGGTTAGCGTTTATGTACACCCTGGTGAGTTATTAGTTATTGCCTTGCCTGTGTCGATTTGAAATTTGGACACCTACTCCATGCTCTGACTCTGTGTCTGAATGTAAATGCTGAGTCCCAGGATCTGTTCACGTTGTTGTCTTTTTTTCATTCCTTAACTCACTACTCACCTACTTTTTCACGAAATGTGCCCCCCTCCCCAAATGCCAGCCCCACTACCAAGCCTTGAGAAATAAGAAGAAAGTGGAATTTACAATTATTTTGACAACGGCTGTGCAAACAGCCATAAATTCTATACTTCACATAGAGCTAAGGACTGCAATGTTTACAGTAAGAGAGGGTCAAACCAAATATTTGCATCTGGGGCCTCACCTGTTAGAATAGCAGCGAAGGGTCCAAAGTACAGGCCCAAGGCACACACCGAGGCTATCAGCCTGCTTTATGAGTGTCTCTCTGAAAGTTCCCAGGAGCCAACTCTCTCTGGCCTGCTGCGGGCCCCTTTGAAATGAGGATAACAGCTCTCTCTATTCACTTATCAGAAATATGTCCATTAATGGGCCAGATAAAATTGTTTGAGTACTCATTTGAAAGGAGCAGCCATTCCTGCTCTGGACCAGGAAGATAGTCATTTAAAGGTACAGCCTGACAAAAGAAGAAAAATAATTGGGGAACTTTATCCATACCCGTATCACCTCTTGTCTCCTTCCCGGAGTTTGCACTGAAGTCCCTGGTGAGCAGTGACGGAGAGAACACCCGTCCGTTCTGCTGGGAACTCCCAACACCCCATCTTCCTTTTGTTTCTCAGATCATTATAAACCAAAGGTTTTAAAAGAAGTACTTTCATTTTGGTTTTGGTCTATTAAAATAAATTCAGGCCATTAGATTTTTAAAAAAAGAATGAATGGCAATATGGTTATTTTATACCACTTCAGGTCTGGAAACCTTACTTTCTCAAAGAATCAGTTTTAAATATAAAGTTAGCATGGATAATTCCAAGGGAGAAGTGAACCCATGTTCTTATAATAAAGAATATTCTAGCAAATGAGTTCCAAATACAGTGAAGTCTCAAGTCATGCTAGATTGGGGAGTAGGTACCAGACAGAGACACACTGGAGAACTTCTGTGTAATACGGAAAGACAGATATATTATAGAGAAAGTACAAACAACTGTACTTGTAAAATTTTCTG